GTTTTAGCTTTTCTTGCTCGGAAGCTCCCTGATAACTTCAATGAAGCTAAGTTTATCACATTCAGTATGCTTATATTCTGTGCTGTCTGGCTTACATTTATCCCAGCTTATGTCAGTTCTCCTGGAAAATTCACTGTAGCTGTGGAGATATTTGCTATTTTAGCTTCAAGTTTTGGTTTACTATTTTGCATTTTTGCTCCTAAATGTTACATAATTTTGCTAAAACCAGAAAAGAACACAAAGAAACAAATGATGGGTAAATCTTCAGCTAAAGCACTTTAAACTCATGAATCGCTGAACATGCATACTAGGGAGCAACAGGTAAGAAACCCAGATTTTATATATATATAGCATCATACACATGCCATATTAAATGTGAACAAAAGTTTTTTGTTCACATTAATATTTCTGTTGAAAAAAAAACAAAAAAACTTATGTCTGGCTAGAAGTTCTTTTCATGCAATAAATTGACTTAACTACAATGTTTATAATAAAGTGATTAAATCCACACATTAACATGCAAATTATATGTTCAAGCAGTGTCAGACTCAACAATAATAAAACAGAAATGGCAGTATCAGACTTAGATAAATAGGAAAAACAGCATCATACTCAAAGGAGAAATAGTAAACGTAAACAACCTTATTTATAGGCCAAGGAAAACAAGTGAGTTTTTAAAAGTGGCTTAAAAGAGACCAAGGAAGGGGCTAACCTAACCTATGGGCAAATTGTTCCACAGCCGAGGCCCAACCACAGAGAATGCTCAATCCCCTCTGCGTTTAAATCTGGAGTGAGGGACTTTTTGCTTGTAATAAGCCAAAAAATCTGCCAATGGAACAAGTGTAAATTATTTTGGTAAGATTTTTTGAAATAAGACATTGGGCCCTATTTTAACGAAAGTGCAAATTTGTGGGCGGATCCCGGCGCTGTTGCTATTTTCCCGGCAGGATAAATGCCTCTTGAGCCTGGCGCAAATCTAAAAGAGGTTGGTCTGAAGTAGCTTCATTATTCATAGGTGTAGTTTGGGCGTAACGTGGGCGTAACGCCATCCAACATACCCTTTAAGAGCAGGTGTGCATGATGCATGACGGATTGTTATTTTAACGGCGGGTTTACCAGACACGCGCCAGGAACATTCATAGCCGACGTTCTTGTCAGGGCAGTGAAAGACAGAAGTGACGTTGTATGGGACGCAATCCGCGTCGGTTAAACATTATATACATATGTTTCTTGCCACTACTATTGGGCAAACAGGTCAGATCCTTCAGAACTACAATTAGCCTTAAAAAATTGGGTAATTAGGTTTTTTAATCTTCATGCCATCCACAATGATTCCTCATGTGTTAATATTTTTCCTTGTTATAATGTAATGATTTGCAAAAATAAAAAACGCTGTATCTGTGTTGATGAGAGAATCAAAGTCTATGCGCGTTGTGCACCCGCTACATTATGGCCAAGCATGTGCGCTTAAAATAGCATTAAAACAACGCGCATCGCACCACTGACTTCAGACCAGTTTTTTTTCTGGTCAGTGGCACAATTGTTTTCTGGAAGTGTAAAATAGCACTAGGGAATGTTTGTGCCGAAACACGCCTCCCTTTTGCGCCGATCCGCCCAGGGAGTGCAAGTTCATTTCCTAGTTTACCGACGTGCGACTTTGGAGCAAAAAAGCCCGCTTTGCACGCGTGCAAAATAGGAATGATACATGCGTTAGTGTATAAAGTCATTTGTGCCGGGTGCAAGATAGAGCCCATTATATTTAAAGGGGTCATGAACTGGCTTTTTAAATTTTATTATATTGTTGTCTGAGGTGAAATTATGACGTTCGCTTGGTTTTTGCATTCAAAAACATCAAAATGAATAAGTAATAAGCTATTTTCTACCGTAGTTTTCAGCCCAGCTCAGAAACACTCGATTTTTAATGGGCGTCTCACACTGAAGACTTGGAAGTAAACGCCCACTGCTGTGAGTGGATAACCGTTTTGCATTATAGTGAGTTTGAACTCACCTCATCGGTGTACGTGGGGAAAACTGTTTTGAAAACTCCACTGTTGTAAAATGGCAACCGGAATAATTCTCCCATACATGTTCGACCCAGAGTCTGTGTGTTACACAATTGCTGTCAGATCCAATATAGACGGCACAGCACCGTTCTTTACTCTTAATCGGTCTGCAAATCCAGTCTTGTTTACAATCCTCAGTGAAATGAAGCGAACAGACGGACAGTGTTTTACCTCATCAGCTGGAACGTCATGAAAAATATAGTTTATCCATGCAGTCGTATTGGAATCCAGAGGAAGCTTATGCAGCGACTGTCTTCCACAACCAGGCACTGCACAATATTTTGTATTCCACTGTAGCTCGATCCGGTTTGTCATCACGAGGTAGGCCTATGTTATTTAGCTATGCGTATAATGCGCGAATTGGTGGGCGGGGCTAAACCGGCCGTGTTAAAGTAGGAGTTGATCTTCTTCTGCGGGGGTGGTGTTTTATAATCTTTGACGTCATATTTCGCCACTTTTTAAAATGAGTCGTTTGTGGGGCTGGTGTCAATAAAAGCTTTTAGTGGACTAACAAGGACGTTTTCAGTTCTGAAACTTACAGGATATTCTTAATATGATGACCTCTTAGATGTTAAAAGCAGTGGTGGTAAGTAACGAAGTAAAAATACTTCGTTACTCTACTTAAGTATTTTTTTTAGGGATCTGTACTTTACTTGAGTATGTTTTATTTGCATCTACTTTCACTCTTACTCCACTACAATATTAAAGGCAAAATGTACTTTTTACTCCGATACATTTCCCCGTGCCCGCTCCGAGTATTTATTACACTTGGCTTTCCAAACCAATGAAAAACATGGTTTTCTTCTGAAAAAAAAAGAAAAAAAAGCACGCGCTCGCGCTCTTTGCCAGCACGCTCGCTCACATAGCAGTTCAGTTCGTCAATTCAGTGGATATTATTCAGTACAATAATATGTCAGCAACACGTATACATTTTATAGTTTTGAGATAATCACGTTTGCGTGGTTTGTGAAAAAAAAAACAAAAAACAATTGTCACTGAAATAAGGTCATAAAACCCATACTGATTATTTAAGTGACAATACTTTTGAAAATTGTATCACATAGCCTAGAGTATTTGCTCCAGAACTATGTGAAAATCTTCCTGACTACTCATTGAGATACACTGCATGAAAAGACTCAAATCCGGCAATATCCGGGCATGGTAAACTCCTGTGCAATTTGATGTTTGCTGGATGTATGTGGGAAAAAGCGGATTAGAGTAACACGGAACAGTATATTTCCAGACAAACCCGGAAACCTCACCTAAGCGGGCATATACAGGAATCCGTGAAATTTCACGGACATATACAGCTGAAACACTGCTGGGTGTGAGAGGTGTGAAGAAGACCTTTCATATGTTAATGACTGACACTAAGGGTGCTGGCTGTTCTCAGAGGGAGGAGTGGCAGAGGACTTCAGGATTGAAAATTATCTCTGGTCTACAGCAAACAAGTTTTTTGTACAGAAAAATAAATAAATTCTTAAGGCCCTGAAACAGAAAACCGACGTCAAAGAACTAGCAATGACTAAAGCCAACTCTAGGGTTGGCTTATGTCGCCTGTGGGGCCTTAAAACCACTGTATGAAAAAAAGTATCCTAATCAAATATTCTTTTATAAAAACAGGACAAAATAAACACCATGAATATACGTTCACAAAAACATCTGAATATTTAATGAAATAAAAAATACAGGGAAACATTTCAGAATATCTAAATTTTTATTGTGAAGTTTTACCAATTGCAGACAACAACATTTGTCGCCATTGGCTTTGCTTAGTTGGGGACATTTTTATTTAATATTCAACAATGTTATTGAACTGCCTGCATTGACACCATTATATGAGATCTGAACTGAGATGGACAATGACATCACGGTTTTGGCAGAGTTAATTCTTTGGGCATGCATGAAACGAGTGGTCGCAAAACCACCGGGCTTTCCCGTGTTATTGTCAGCAGCTGGTTATCCTTCCATGTTGAAAGGTAAGTCCAGCTGCATCATATTTATTCACAAAATTAAATAGATTCACTTGCAACGCGTCATACCGAGGTTTGTGGTTTGAGTGAATAAGTCCTTCCGCAAACAAACAAAGCTGCAAAAAAAGGGGGCGTTTTGAGGTTTGAAATTCACCACTCACAACCATAAACACAACAAATGTGGTGACGTAATGGAGGTGCAACCAATAACGTTAGTGTATTGCTTCAAGCGCGAGAAAAATACTTTAAAATTACAGCATTCTTTCCCGAAGCAAAGAGAACCGTTTGTTTGGAAACAGTTTTCTTCTATTCACCTTATTTTGTACGACAACAAGGGTGACGCCATTGCGTTCGTTTTGTCATCTTACTCCCGTCTGAGAAAGACTTCAACTTCCGGCTCATGAGAGGGATGAGATTCTGCGCTAGTTGAAACGAACGGTAAAATATGGCAAGTATTAAATGTTCAGTTGTGCTGCCATAACAGTTGGATTAAGAGGAGAGAACAATTGGACCAACGGTGTAACGAACATAATGTGAGGCGGTCAGATTGTTGTTGTGGTGCACTTTACGATTTAGCTACACCCACCACAGACGAGGAGCACCGGAGGCAATGGCGGAAGGCACTACATTTGGAAGCATAGGCTTGAAAGTGCCCAACTGAGGCTAAACACGGAAACGATTCTGATGAGAAAACGCAAAAGTGGCGTTGCGTCATCTTTTTTTATTATTCTGCGTTTAGACGAGCGTTTTGTGTGAGAAATCCGCGTGCAAATGGAGACGCAAAAGTGTGTGAAATTCAATGTAGTATGCACTTCAGGCGGCTAGGAGTGCATACTACCACAACACCAAGTCCACGCGCCTGCGTACAACTTTCACCGTCAAGCAAACTTTTGCGTTTTTACCGTTTACACGGGTAAGATTCAAGATTTCCACTCTGGAGGGTGGTTTCACTTTTTTTGCTTTTTTGAGCCTCAAAAACGCCATCGCCGTGTAAACGAAAGGCACATCCGATAAAATATTTTTACGTTTTCAACCGCGAGCAATCTCGTGTTAACAGGGCCTAAGGACGGGAATCCGATTGAGGAACACCCCAGAAATGGCTCGGCTACGATGTTCCGATAAAGAAGTCACGCCGGGTGTTGAATATTGTCAGATTCAGGTAAGCTAACTTGCCTAACTGTTATGTGCTTGTTTGCCTAACTTTAGATTCGTGAAGTCCGTTCTATGAATGCTTTTAAGATCAGTAACAAGCCGTAAACAAAATACAATGAATCTTGCATGATTACCATTGCCCACGTATACATGTTATTTATTTAACTTTGTGATATTGACCTAAGAGTCTGAAAGAATGAATGAATGAATACTCACGGTAGTACAAGATAGTATGGTAACTTACATTAGTCTTACAATAGCTCACATTACTGCTATTGCACATTACGAGATGTAAACAACACTGGTCCAGATGCACTTCCTGTTTCAGTTTGTAAAAGGCTTCTTAATTTCAAATGTAAAGAAAATATCTTGAATATGTTTGTTTAACTTTTTGATTCAGTTGTTCTGTTGGTTGTACTTTAACCCAACGTTTATACAGTGTTAAAACTGAAACAGGAAGTGCTTCTGGACCAGTGTTGTTTACATCTTGTGAAATGGTCTATACAGAGATTGCTGATGCTAGCAGGCCAGCTAGCTACATCTCTCATTCAGATATTGATATTGACTTATGGCGAGTTAGGAGATTGTGTATTGTTTCGTTTTTAATTAATGTATCTTTCTCACACACTGTTCTGTGTAACTATGGGTGCCATCATCAATGAATTCTCCATGATCTATTTTAAGTAGCTACTAATGTAAAAAATGTTTATGGTTATAATATTTCCATAGATGCATCAATGAGAGTCAGTAATGCAGTGGATAACTATGAGGATGATCACATCCACATGCCCCACAGCTGTGATGCAGAATCACAATGGGAGGATCAATCTGTCTTTGGCCACAACCTGATCTTATCAGAGAGACTCTCCAGCGTCTTGATGCTCTTTAGCGAAAGTATGAGCAGCACAGACTAACGTTACATGAAGAATCTTACAACGCTTCGAAAAGAATAAAAAAGGCACATGACGTGAACATTGCGGTAAGTCCAATTATTGTTCTATAACGTGGCTGTAAGCCATAGTTCGGTTACAATTATTGTTTTGTCTCTTGCGGTTACTGTGATGGTCAGCTTATTCCAACTGAAAATTCAGTTTTGTGGTTCTTGAAGATTGTGAATCAATTTAATTGCTTTTTAATTTCAAACTTTACAGGAATCTGTAAGGCGCCTCCATAATTCAGAGAACAACCCACACAAATACGTTCCACAAACCAGGTAAGACTGTTTCTTGTATACTATAGCCTAAATGTTAGTTTAATCTACTACTCTATGGATTTGGAATGCCAAAAGTGAATTTCAGTAATGATACCTGCAACTTTCCCCCCCAGAATAAATTCATCACATAACCTGGCTGTGACCACTTACCTCTTCGAAGAATTAAGGTCAACTTTTACAGACGTTGACCCTGAATGTGTAAAAGGTAATCTTAAAGATGTTGTAATCATTTTATTGTCCTCTGTTTTACTTACTTTTATTGCCATTACATTTATTTATGATATATTTAGCAGGTTGGAAGATGTATTTTGAGACTTTGCGGAGGAAGTATTCTTTGGCTCAGCCTGAAAAGGCCCAGAAAAGAAAAACTATGACGAGCGTTGCAAAGAACCTTCAAAGAAAGCGACTGGTAAGTTAAGAAACTGGTTAAGCACTTTTTTTTTCTCTTCAGAATGTAACTATCCTCCTCTCTGTGTTTTAGTGGTTAAGTTACTGTCATGTTTTTCAGTTGCTGGAGACCAGGTCCGGGGTTGTACAAACCAACACAGAAAAGGAACTTTGGAAGACCGCAACAATAGAACTGATGTCTGATGAAGATGAAGATGATGCTATTGTTGATGGAAGGCCAGTGTGAATGGTGAGGTCTCCACCAATCTGCTCTCTGCTAGGTACTATAAAACAGACTAGAGGCTGACCCACACTATGCGTCACACCACCAGCGTATCATGGCAGTTTGAAAAATGTTAACTCGTATAAAAAAAAATATATATATATATATTTAACCGTTCAAAAGTTTGGGGGTCGGTAAGATATTTTTTTTTTTGGTTTGGGGGGGATAGCTCAAATTAACTCAATACTTTTATTCAGCAAGGATGCATTAAATGAATCAAACGTGACAGTAAAGACATTTATAATGTTACAAAACATCATATTTCAAATAAATGAAATATAACTTTCTATTGATCAAATAATCCTAAAAAGTCTACAACTGTTTTCAACTTTGGTAATAATAATGAATATTTATTGAGCATCAAATCATCACATTAGAATGATTTCTGAAGGATCATGTGACACTGAAGACTGGAGTAATGATGCTAAAAATTCATCTTTGATCACAAGAATAATGTATTCCAATAGAAACGTTTATTTTAAATTGTCATAATATTTAACAATATTACTCTTACTTTTTTTGTATTTTTTATATATAAAAAAAAAGCAGCCTTGGCGAGCATATGAGACTTCTTACCGATCCCAAACTTATAAACGGCAGTGTACACCTTGAATATTTTATATACACTTTAATTTCTTATTTATTTTTCTCGTATTATTTCATATATTTGTTCCTTTTTTTGTTGTCCATGTTGCTTATCTCCATTTTGTTTACTTGTTTGCATTTTAATGTATGTTTATAATGCACTCTCTGTAATGTTCTATTTATTTATATTGTTTACTTGGAATATCTACGTATATTTTATATATATATATATATATATATATATATATATATGAAGAGTTCAGATGCAAAAGCCTCTAAATGCCATTTGAAATTTTCTCCTTTAATGATGATTTTTATCAAACTTGTATATTTAAGTTTAGTAATTTCACTTAAATAACAATTAATAGGCAATTATCATTGCCATTTAAGAGAAATTACTTAAATATACAAGTTTGATAAAAATCATCATTAAAGGAGAAAATTTCAAATGGAACTCTTCATATATTTTATATATGTAACTTTTTATATACACTGTGTACTTTATTCCTTTACATCTGTCCTTTAAAATGATTGGGTAAAAAAAAATTAACGAAAATAAAAAGTTAACAATTTATTTAATGTATGTTTATAATTTTCTTTGGAATGTCCATGATTTTTTTTTCTTCCTTTGAGATGTTATTACTTCATACTTTTTTTTTCTAGTTTTTGTTCCCAATTCCTCTGTAATGCTTGTTTATAATGCTATTTGGAATGTGTTATATACCTTAATAAAAATTTCAGACTTTCCCATTGTTCTTTGTGTGTTTAAATATATATATATATATATATATATATATCAAATTTATTTTAATGAATATATTAAAATTGGGGGAGGGAGGTTTGGTATATATTTGAGCAATATCTGCATAGCTGGTATATAACCAATCAAATCAGTATGCTACAAGGCCTAGGGTGGGCTATGTTTAAAAGTAACCAATAAAGTCCGTTTACTGGGTTTTCAATGTGTCCTGCCCTCCAATAGTGGTCTGGGTGTTGGGAGTGGCTTTAAAAGAACAACCAATCCAGTTTGGTTGGAAGGCAAAAAGGTGTGAATGTTTCCTGCAAAAAGGTGTGATTTTTTTTCCTGCTAAAAACTTTAATGGGATTACTTGCCATGGCAACAAATGGCTCTAGCACGGAAGTATACGTCCACAACATACATCCGATTTGGTATCATTCCGGATGTATGCGGATATATACAAACCCATGGAATTTGACATATCCGGCCACTATACTCCTGGATTCTTCCGAATTTCAGCAGTGTATACAGGAGTATACTGGTCCGGATACACCTATTTTCATGCAGTGATAATACTGTACAATAAAGTCTTTTAAAAATTTGCATGATGTGTTTTGGGGAGGCCTTAACCACCCATTAATATTACTCCTTTACAAACATGAGAGAGACTAAGACCCTCCCTTAATGGCCCTATTAAGCCCTGAACACACCAAGCCAACGCCAGCGAACTAGTAACTGTGTTGTCGCCTCTCGTCGAGGTAAAAAGCTGCACTTGAACACACTGAGAGAACTGCAGCCGACTGTCAGCTAGAATGTGCGTTCTGCGCCTGCGTTTAAATGGTAAATGGACTGCATTTATATAGCGCTTTCATAGACCTAATGGCCACCAAAGCGCTTTACATATTGCCTCACATTCACCCATTCATACACCAATGGCGGTGTCAGCCATACAAGTCGCCATCCAGCTCGTCAGAAGCAGCTGGGGTTAGGTGTCTTGCTCATGGACACCTCAACACTTGGTCAGGTGGAACCGGGGATTGAACCACCAACCTTTTTCGGTTTGTAGACAACCTACATGAACCACTGAGCCAACTGTCTATTTCTGCAGATATATTAGTCTATATTTGTCATTCAAAAAGGAAAACCGACGCTGCCGGCTGCAGATACACATAACGTAAACAAAGTGCGTGCTTACTGTTTTGAATATCAATCCTGCTGAACACTTTCTTTATTCCACTCCACTCATGTTAACATTGAAATATTCGCCAATGAACACTCGGGTAAGAAGACGTAACATAAGAACAGCCTTCTATCTTTACCATTTTGACTTCTTTGCTTGCTGTTTTGCGTTTATTCTCATGCACTGACTCTTTCACTAAACTGAACAGCCAATCCGAGTTCTCACTTTCCCCAATGCCGATTCAACATGTCGAATCGCACGAAACAAAGCCGACAAGGATTATTTTCAGTCAACGATACGGAACCCTGCGTAACGCACCGAGGAAACTTAGTTGGCCAACGCACAAAATCTGCCAGACGGCCAACCGTCGGCTTGGTGTGTTCCGGGCTTTAGGGGCTATGGGGCCCTACATCATTATAAGTGTTACGAACACACAGTCATCAGCGCTAGACCTCGTCACTCTGCCCACTCGTTCCTCATCCCCGGAGTATTGATCACGGCCATTACTAAGCTTACAGTAAGCTTACAATTTTATGTAAATATGAACAGAATAAGCTAATAACATGACAGCAATTATTTATTTTCAACCTGTTTCATCTACATACCGACAACTTCACGGCTGCTCCCTCCACTTGCTGGCAAAAAGCTTGCTGGCTAGTGGCGAACATGACTTCTTTGTCAGAAAGATGGGGCATTAGTGTATAGACACTTGTCAATCAAATGTCAAATGTCTGACCAATAGAGAAGCACCCGACCACTGCGGAACGTTTGTGTCTAAATCAGAGCCATATTTTGAGAGAGTTGCGACACGCTTTGATGTCGCCGACAGGCTGTCACATGGTTCATGGAAGCCCCAATAGTTCCAAAACATACGCGGGCTGTCATGTTCTCCAAAGGACAGACAACAGCGATCACATTATTAAAGGGTTAGTTCACCCAAAAATTAAAATTAAGTCATTAATTACTCACCCCCATGCTGTTTCAACCCCGTAAGACCTTCGTTCATCTTCGGAACACAAATAAAGATATTTTTGATTGAATCTGAGAGCTGGATCAGTCCTAGATAGACTGCCTAAGGGACTGGCTCTTGACGGACCATAAAGTCATTAAAGAAAAGGTTTAAATATTCCATGTGCCTACAGCGGCTCAATTAAGCGACGAGACTACTTTTTGTGCGAAAAAAACATAAATAACGACTTTATTCCACTATTCCATTACTTCCTTATGGGCGCATGCGCGAGAACTGAGACGAGGACGTTCTCATTCGGCTACTTCTTGTTACCGGCTGCTCACCGTTTAGGAGTTTTACCGCCACCTACCGTATAAGATGATGTGCTGATATAGCTGGAAGCGCAAAACTTTCTGTTTACAAGCAGAGGAAGATGTGCGCTGTGCACTTAAAAGCCTTTAATCTTCTCAAAAAACGACAGCGGAGCGCCTTATATATGGATCATCATTTTATACGGTAGGTGGCGGTAAAACTCCTAAGCGGTGAGCAGCCGGTAACAAAAAGTAGACGAATGAGAACGTCCTCGTCTCAGTTCTCGTGCATGCGCCCATTAGGAAGTAATGGAATAGTGGAATAAAGTCGTTATTTATGTTTCGCACAAAAAGTAGTCTCGTTGCTTGATAAACTTATAATTGAGCCGCTGTAGGCACATGGAATATTTAAACCTTTTCTTTAATGACTTTATGGGCCGTCAAGAGCCAGTCCCTTAGGCAGTCTATCTAGGACTGATCTAGCTCTCAGATTCAATCAAAAATATCTTTATTTGTGTTCCGAAGATGAACGAAGGTCTTACGGGGTTGGAACAGCATGGGGGTGAGTAATTAATGACTTAATTTTCATTTTTGGGTGAACTAACCCTTTAAACGGTAAACTTAAAATAAAACACACATCCAAGTACTTTTTAAGCTGTTATTGCATTTGGTTAATGTCAGTGTTGCATTTGGAGTGGCAGGGTGACAACTTCGATACATTTTAGACTATATTTTTGGAGGGAAAAGCCTAGTGTTCATGTTCGCATTGGTAGTTGCATTGGCTTTAGCGGCTCTAACTTAACTTTTCCATGTCATTCATCTGATGATGGACGTCTCATGATATGTGACCCGCTCTGGCAAAATGAGTCGGAAGTCGCAACGTTCCATTTTAAGATATGGGCCGATTATGTGGAAAAACAATGAAATAACCCAAAAAATTTTTTTTTTGCTAATTTCAAAGAACAGACATTCAAAAATAATCTCCCAAAGTTTCGTAGTCCAGATAATTGAGTAAAGGTATTTAAATGACGATTAAATTTGTCAAAGCTTTAAATTCGCTGAAATAAACATTGCTCTTCTTCTCAACTCCCCTCGTCAGCTCTGAGCATTTCCCTGGTAGCCTATCCGCTGAAACGTTGAACTCACTGGAGGCTTCTAACTTAAGCTGTGTGAGTATATTTATCTGCAAGAAGAATACATGTAAGGCTGTAACGATCGTGACACTCAGATCCACTAACCTGTGTCGCGGTGTGAGAAGACAGAATCACGACACGTCCCTTTAAATCCCGGAGTTATCCCGGAGTTATCCTCCACATCTTTAAATTACTA